CTAGTGGTTAGAGGCTGAACTACAACATAAAAATGAACGGTTGGCAAGAAGGTTGACATTTTAAACCTTAATTAAAAATCGATACAGGGCTTTAGAATATCGATACAGGATCAGGAAATGAAATATCGCGATATTTCAGTGTATCGATATTTTCTTACACCCCTAACAACCACTGCTCATTTTCTTGGAGTGCCGCATGCGAGTGAGGGAGCGATAACAAAAATACATAACTAGCAATGATTTATGGTTGGATTTGAATCAGTATGTTTTACATCCAATTAAAACAAAGATGTTAACAAATAAATTGGAAAATATTCTGACAACTTAGCGATGTTTCCACAGTTGTGATAAATTCCAGAGTCCTCTATGTCCAAGAACAAGGTCGAGACCATTAAAAAGTGGTCTGACCGGTCTCAAGTACCTCAACACTGGTCACTTGTTGTGATTTTTGTTCAACCTGCAGGTTTTTTTTTTTAGTTTTTCTTTTTAGAGGAGGTATAAAGTTCTTCCTAAAGTCAATCAGTGAGTTTGATCAGAGATGGTGATGGTTTGGATTGAGGAGTCCAGTCCCAGCAGTGTACCCAGGTAGGACTGTTCTCGAGGGTCCAGGATCTGATCGGCCCTCACAGGGTGGACGATGTTGGCTTGCTGAGGGGTCAGGGTGTATTTCTCCAGGAAAGCCAGGTCTGTTGGAGCTTGGTAGCCTGAGGTCTGCTGCTGTCCTTGAGACTGAATGTTAACACCGTGAGTCTGAGAGGAGTGAGACGCCGTCCTGTGGGAGTGCAAGACCCCCTGTGCTCCTCCTGACATGGGGACCTGGACCAAAGTGACGGGTACACAGATGTTTGTTGGACCTGAGGTGGTCCGTGGGGCTGATTTAGGTTCTGAGGTATTAGGAACGGAACTTATTTCGTCTTCGCTGTCGAGCGGCGGTATAAACCGAGCGCCGTGCACGTGATCCACATGGTACTTGAGTTTGTCTTTCCTTTTAAAGGTGGCGTTGCAGTCCGTACAGTTAAAAGGCCGAGCGTCCGAATGAATCACCATGTGCTTTGTTAGGGTCTTCTTGATCCGAAACGTCTGATYGCACTCCGGACATTTGTGGGGTTTCTCACCTGTAACACAAAAAGTTTAGTTCTGTTGCATCTGTACATTGTGAATACAAAAACTTTCTTTAAAGCTAAAATAAGTGAGGTGCTACTAATGATGGCCATACTGAGTTTCCTTCAAAGTATATGAGCTGATTTTTTTATAATCTCCTCAAAAAAATTATTAAAAATGTCTTGCAGATAAAATACCAAAAGTAGATAATAATGTGTCACACAGTCATGGGTTGCACAAACAGTATTTTTCTTGATGGAACTGACAAAGAAGAAATAATAAAAATTGTAAAACAAAATCTTGCAGAAAAAAGATCAAAAMATTGTGTGGATGTAGATATGATGTTTGTAAAGGAAATAATGAATTATGTTATTGAGTCATTTACATACACTCACCGGCCACTTTATTAGGTACACCACGCTAGTAACGGGTTGGGCCCCCTTTTGCCTTCAGAAC